ACGAGACATTGTTACACGAGATTTTTATTAAGAAAAACATAGTAAATCTATTTTTAGAAAAAAAAATTCAAGGCAAAGACCCTATATTGTTTTTTTTTTTTAATATAAAATAAATTATACATTGTAAAAGTTGTTTATATACTTACAATTTCAGATGCCCAAATTGAAAGCATCATGAAAGTAATTTCAACATGATTTTCTTTAGCTCTATCTTTATTTAAACATGGTCGATTATGAATTGTGCAATGATTTTCTTTACGAATTTCTAAGACATTTTTCGCAATTGATGTTTTGAGTGAAGATAGATTTGAAGTTTTAGAAATAGAATTTTTGTTTCTCAAATCTGTAACAATATCATCGTCTGAATTATTATTAGGCCCACGATCCTAAATGAGTATTTAAAATTATTTATATTATTATATATAATAAATACGTATAATATAAAATATTATATTTTACTATACTGTACTTACATTTATTTTGCACTTTATATTTGACCTAATAAATGTTATAAAAAAGACCATATTGATATTTTTAGATTTATATTTTTGGTAATCAGCCTGAAATTTTTTAAAGTCTTGAGTATCAACTAGTTGAGTACCCACTTCTGCTGCCTTTTCAGATTTGAATGCAATACGATAATCATTTGGATCAACTGGTTTTTTTTCCATTAAAGTTTCAATATTTATATGAATTTTTGAAAGTAGCTCATTAACCATAGATACTTTAGCTGTATACTATTTTGCCAGAAGAGATGTTCTATTTTCAAACTTAATAAAAACTCTATAATTATATTCATATTCAACTTCTTCACCAGATAAAGACTCATCATCATTAGGTTCATATTCCTCTTCATGATACTCTTTTTCATTAGGATTCCAATCAAGTTTTTCTTCAGATTCGGAAGCTCCACTTGCTATAGTAAGATCACATGTTTCTAATTCAGAAGAGTTATTGATATCGTTATCAAGTGTAGAACTTGATGATGCTTTAAGCTTTTTTACTTTCTAATATAATCTTAATAAAATACTATTGCATCAAGCACACAAAGTAAAATTAAAAGCCTCTTTTGCACTTAATAAATAATTATAATGTTCTATTCTTTGTTGAACAAATTCTTCTTTTTCTTTTATCCAATTTTGATTGAATACTTGTGCAAACGCATATTTGACAGCTTTTGTCCGATTACTTTTATGTGGCACATTAGACAAGTTACAATTACATTTTTCTTGTCGCAAATCAATTCCACAATACATGCATTTTTGGCAACTAAAACAAGTTCCTTGACGATATTTTAATTTTGTTTCTTGAAAATCGGCCATTTTTTAAGAGAAATATGCGTATGTAAATAATAATTTATATATAATAAATACATAATATAGCTTTTTATATTGATCATTGTTGATCACTGATCAAATAATTATATAATTTTTTATATAGATTCTTAATGATTCTTAATGATTCTTAAATTTAGATTCCCTATTTAGAATCACAAAGATTCTCCGCCATCATTATTATGAAAACCAATGGGTCACACCTTTTTGCAAACTGCTATAATAATCGATTAAAATTGCTTTAATTGAAATCGATTAATATCAAAACAAATTAAAATCGATTATTTTTTAATCGATTGTGTATTGATTAGCTACCAATATCGATTATTGTCGATTTTCCTGATTGATGGTGATATCCACCCTATTTAAAAATTTCCTGATGCAAATCGATTTCTTTTTTTCATCCTGCAATTAATCAGCATCCAGCAGTTTTATTTCCATTTAACTAAAATATATCTTGTAGACCTCTCTAAATACACGTTATCGGGACCAGCTCTAGAGCGTGCATTTTTAGAAAGGGTTGCAAATTAGAGAACACTAAGATCATGTGACAATTATCACGTGATGAAATGGCTTTAGTGGCCTAGAAATGATAAATTTGATAAGCTAATATTTACATGAATACATTTATAGAGGCATGATAAACTTCACAAAAATTTGTATTTTTTTTATGTTTATTTATATAATAATTATACAGTACATAATCATTATATCTTTATTATTTTATATACAGTAGATTATATTTACAATTAGGGAAGTGTGGATGCCAAAACATCATGCTAATAGATCATATGTATATATGTTTATATATAAATTTGAGGGAGGGAGGGAATTTTACTATTTACAAAAAATCAGCTGATGAATGACACTCTCTTATACTAAATCACACTAGTAGTATATAGATAGTAAAAGTTAGAGGTTTTAAAATAGTCAAATACATGTAACGGGCTGACTTTTAAATCAATACAGCAATACTGTATTACTATATCATAGCATGCACCATTTATGTTATAAATCACTATCTTTTTATTTCGTCATTCATGCTTGTTATTTTACACGATACATACGTCATCCATACTTATATTATATTGCACCATACGAATTAAAGAAGTTTTAAAAAAAACATAAATAGTATAATTATGATCAATGACCGCCGTACTATAATACCAATATAGCATGATAATCCTGAGATACATCACACTGGTACAGCGATAATTTTTTTGATTATTCAGAAAATGCCGCTTCGCGGCATTCTCTGATCAAAAAAATTATCACTGTGTCAACATGATGTTATCTCATATTATCATACTATATATATTATATAATTAGCTAGTTTTTGCGATATACGTAGCAACTATATATATGGGGACCCCCACAGCAAAAGGGTGCATTGGGACAAAAATTTTAATTTTGTAATTTTATAAAAATTGTAATCCTATTAGTCTAATTCAAGAAATCAATTAAAATAAAAAAAAAATTTTTTGACCCAATGCACCCTTTTGCTGTGGGAGGTCCCATATATGTTATATATTGTATTTTTTATAATATATTATAAAACACACCTATGATGTTTTACGCCTATTATATATTTTTCCTGTTTTTATAAAATTTTTAATACAAATTTTTTCACGTTAGGGTTAGTATTAGGGTTTAAGTTAGGGTTTGGAAGGTTTTTTTAGAGCATAGAACGTTTTTATTTAGAATGCTTCATGCCAATTAATTAGCCAGTCTTTGAGAAAACATATACATAGGTGTAAAACACCATAGGTGTGTTTTAGTTAACTCCTATTTTTAATATACGTTTAATATATTTTTATAATGTTTATCGCGGTTTTCGAAATGGTTGAAAATGGCAAATAAATTTTTTTTGGCGTACACTCGTACACTCAATTACCTTAGCACATTGATCGATCGATCGGATATTGATCTTCGATCAATGTGCTAAGGTAAATGAGTGTACGAGTGTACGCCAAAAAAAAATTTATTTGCCATTTCAACCATTTCGAAAACCGAGATAATACTGTATATATTTTTTAAAAGATAATATTGTACGTATGATTACATAATAAATATATTTAGCAAAAAATACTGGCTTCCGTAAAGGAATAAAAAGCGTGCATTTATCTATAAGTCACATTGTGGGGCTAGCCTTCCATCATGCATTTAGAGAAGTGTTGCATTTAGGGTATCAGATAACCTGGCTAAAGATGTCACTGCGATTTCCGCTAATTTGACATTTGGGTTCTTTCACAGCAAACCATGCTTAGAGTATATATATTTATATACCCTAAACATGGTTTTGCTGTGAAAGAACTCATTTGAAAAAGTGGGGTATTCTTATTTACAATAGAATACGGTAACATAGTTAATCCGAAATAAACTTCAACTTTGTTCTGATTCGTTGAACGTTTTAATTTATTTCCAAGTTAGTGCACGAGCATAGATTAAAAATAGACATTTGATAATATCATATAAAAAAAAGAAAAGGCATTATGTGTATACGTACAGTACAATAAACAATACATTGAAAATGGAATTACTAATTTTTTCAAAAAAAAAAAAAGAGAGAAACAATTTCATACACAATATACTGTATGTTTAATTTAACATTCTATTTGAATTTATAATCAAACTAAAGACATAAGCGAACTACATTGTATACGTGCGTATAATAAAAACGGATTTATGATAATGCAAAATTTGCACTATAAAAAGTTTTTTTCTTTCTATTTTCTAACAACAATATACGAAAATTTTTTGGAGAATGATCTAAAATATTCTCTTAAAAGTACAAATCATGGTGAAAGAATGTAATGTAATATTGAATATTCGAAATTGTATCATTATACATAATACTACATTATTTTAGTGCGAATAATGATGTAAACAGGATAGAAATAATCGGGAGTATTGTGATCACTAAAGAATTACTAGAGCTAGTAGTAGAGGTTTTCGGGCTATTAGTGGATGTAGAAGTTGATGAATCGGATGCCGGTTTGCCTGATAGGACTGATGGGGCTGATGATGGGGCTGATGGTGATATGGTTTTAGCAGGTGCCGAAGTGGAATTACTATTTGTCGCGTTTACTACGTTTACTACGTTACTAGGTTTACCCCCAATTTCTAAATAGGGTTTCGAATCTCCTACACATTGAGCGACCGTAGTCATGTTCAAACCATTAACTTTAACTGCTAATTTTAAGACTTCTATTGCTGCCTTTACGGTTTCATTATAAAGATCATGTTCAAGAACAATAAATCCTGTGGACATCGTTGGGAATTTTTGAGTCCAATTCTTAAAAGTACTGATTACATAGCTGATTGGTTCGGGTGGGGTGGAGACAAGAGTCCAATCATTGCTATCAAAGTCTGGAAGCCAGAGAACAGCTAATTGTTCAAAATAAAAAATATATATAAATATAAATATATTAATGTGAATAAATAAAAATATTCGAAGAAAAAAAATTCATACTTATTAAACCCATGGCACGTGTAATTGCACGAACGCGATTGTCGGTATCACCATATGGAGGGCGATAGTATATAGGTGTGACGCCGATAATATCTTTGATAGCCTAAATGAAAATAAGATTAAATTTTTAATCAAAAAATTACAGAATATTTAAGAAAACCACTTTTTTGTATAGAAATTCAAATACCTTCATTGTCCATCCTATTTCTGCGACGATTTGTTCGTTGGAAAGAGAAGTAAGTGCAGGATGGGACCAAGTATGCACAGCAATATGATGACCTACAATTAAATATATATATATAATTTAGAATATTAATTATTTTTTAAATTACGTGTTATAAATAAATTATTACATTACCTCTTTTGTAAGCGTCTAAAAGAATTTCAGGATTAGAAATTGCGCGGCTACCAATGACGAAGAACGTGGCTTTCAAATTGCATTTATCTAGAGCGTCTAACAAACTTGGCGTCGCTAACGATGGCCCATCATCATAAGTTACACCCCAATTTCCTGTTGTCGGACATGCTTGAATATCATCGGGAGCAACGTATTTTTGACAAGTCCAAGATCCTTGATTTGGATCGATTGTGCTTTTATTATCACAGGTAGGCTGATCATGGTTGACCACACCGCCATTAGAAGCTGGAAGGTTTGGAACATTACTGAAATCATATTGACTCATCCATTTCTGGACAATAGGATCTTTTTCATCGGGTAATTGATCTAATTGAGGATAAGTCTGTTGTATGCCATTAATTGTCAACGTGACGCTCGGTTGTGGTGCATTAGCAGCCGGAGAAGCAGCAGAGGTAGTAGTAGCACTGGGATTCGAATTACCATCAGCATTCACTGTACAAGTAACCAAAAGAATAATTGCAAAAACTTTGAGAAATTTCATTTTTGTAAAAATTTATTTAATTTATTGAAGAAATTAATGGTAAGCTTGGTTATTCTTTATTATTATTATAAAAGTTGGATACAAACGAAAACAATAAGGAAAAAAATA